AAACAAAATATATCCACAACCTACAGGAGTGACAAATTTAAATAGTGTATTAATAAATATTATAACATTAAATAAAATTACAATGATAGTATAATAACATATGTCTGTCTGTCTGTCTGCCTACAGATAGTGTATTAGTTGAGATTCAACAATTCCATTGCTTTACAAATAAAACCGTTTTCTGATATCACACCACTGTGGTTAAGGGTTGATTGAGGCTAATGTTAGTGTATTCATTTTAAGTTTAGATAATAGTAAAGGCAACTATATAGCTTACAACTAGTATGTATTAATTCCAGTTGGACAAAACATTTCATTTTATTTTCAATCATTAAATTATTGAGCAAGATAAATGCTCTACATGGTGGTTAGTCTCTCATATGTTTATGCAAAGTACTAACTTGTCAATAATATTTCAAAAGTTTGCTGTAGCACGTTTTTTTAAAGTCCCGCCTACTCCAGGCTGCGATTGGTCGGTTCACGAAAAGTGACTTTGTTGAGCGACTTTATTCACATGGGTGCATGAAAGGCCACCAAACTTCTCCGTGCTCTGTCTCCGCTGACAGAGATTAGCAGGCTGCCGTGTACGGGAACCAGAGAAACTGATATGGAGAAGGTAGAAAATAGTGACCGACTGATATGGGTTTTTGGGGGCCGATGCCAATATTAAAGTGAAAAAGAGCCGATTTATGAGCCGATATTTAGATTTAGAGAATGATTTGGATGGTAGACCCCTTTAGAGTAGATTAAGTGTACTTATCTGTTTATTCTCTTTTCAAAATAATTGTAACTCAATTATTTGCTCAACCCCTCAGCCTGTTCTTATTTTCCATTTAACTCTTTTAACCCTGATTGTACACTATACTGTAACTTTTATTATATTTTATGTTGCTTTTAAACTTTTTTATATTTCCCTGTTGCTTTTATGTTTTATGTAAAGCACTTTGAATTACCTTGTTGTTGACATGTGCTATACAAATAAACTTGCCTTGCCTTACTGTATAAACTACACTTAGAACAGGCCAATATTGAAAGCTGGTATTGTGTGGGCTAAAAAACCTTTTCCTAAATGGATTATGTTAATAAAATAGACTACAGTCTCAAAAAGTGAACATGTAAACAATTGCACATCAATAAATATTCGTTGCTGGAATGTGCTACTTTTTTAGCTATATGTAAACAGAGAGAGAATAAGCATATGTATTTCAGTTTACACGTAATCTGCCATAATTTCAATGTAGCAAATTCACATCCAGTTCATCTCTTTACCAGCACTCTTTTAACCAAAGCTACGAGAAACCATTTCTCATCATCTGTCTAAATCATGCTGTCTATGATACAGTGAGCTGCTGATGAATGCATCTAATACAACATGACTCTCTAGAACGAGGACTTGCAACTTTGAGATTTAATTTAACCGTTAAGGCCGTTACGGCTCTGACAGCGTTTCACATCTACAATGTCATAAAAAAGAGCCTGAGTACAGGAAGCCATGTTATTTTCTTATTCAGCTCACATTTATTTACATGTCCACTCTGGTTTAATCATTTCAGACACGCAGACTAACTGCAGACAGGCAGCTCACAGAATACACCAGAAACTATAGTTTAACTGCTCATTAATGTTAGCGCTCCACCACTGATGAACACGGCATTAGCTTTGTGGCTAATTTAGCAACGGGCAGTGTGAGCTGCTGTAACGTTACGTGATTTTAGAGAATATTTAGAAGTATATAGTAATATAGTAAGTATAGTAATATCTGCCGGCCGATAAATCGGAGGACCGGCAGCTTGTGAGAAGTCCCAGTACGCAAGAAAAAGTCCCTGTTAGCAGTAGAGAGTAAAGTAAGAGTAAAATGTAGCACAAAGCACAAACGGCTTTTATATTGTGAAGTCATCTCTCCCGTTAGCGCTAGCTTCGTAGCGAGTTTGATAAATTGATATTAAAACACATTTGGAGAGGATTTAAACGTTTTTTTTTTCACCCCAATTCTGATCATTTTGGCGCTGGTGATTTTCCTTAGGCGCTTGCTAAAACCTCTTTGGGGGTGCCAAAAATTCCACTATGCAGGAAAAACCCTGATGTCACTCCATTACTCAGCGACCTCCGCTGGCTACCTATGGCCTCTCGAATCGAAATTCATGTACCTAATGCTTGCGTACAGAGTGACTACTGGGTCTGCACCCATCTACCTAAACACCATAATAAAAGCTTACGTCCTTTCTCGACCACCGTGCTCCTCCAACGAATGCCGCCTGGCTCTGCCATCCCCACACACAAAGCAATCTCAGACCTGGCTGTTATCATCTTTGACACCACAATGGCCGAACGAGCTACCGCATGCCACCAGAGCAGGGGTATCACTCTCTAAGTTCAAGAAGTTCTTGAAAACTCATCTCTTCCGAGAACACTTTCTCTTATAACACCTAACCTATAACACATACTTCCTGTGCTGTTCTTCCTGTCTCCTTACTATTTTGTCAACTCTTACTTCTATCCCTAGGTATTTACCCCATTGATGCCATACGTGCTATTAGCTCTTACTAGTATTTATTGCAGCTCTTACTAGTATCTATTGTCTCTTGTAGATCTCTTATTGTCTTGATGCTTTATTGATGCTTGTATGTTGTTCCTCCAATGTAAGTCACTTTGGATAAAAGCATCTGCCAAATGAGTAAATGTAAATGTAAATATTACATTAAACATATAAGAATACTGGGGGACACAACAATCGCAGAGAATTACTGTTTGTCAAAGCAAAGTCTATTTGTCTAATGTATCCTGCATGTGCCCACTCTTCCCTTTATTTGAAATCTTTCCTTGCTTGTTGGCATCTCAGGATACTGATTATGTAGTTTTAAATCCAGCAGCTCTGCCTCTATTCCGGAATCCATTTTGGCAGTGTGAACAGCCTAGCTGCTCCTCAACCTGCCTACTTTGCCTCTTATCTGTTTCTAGCCTTTTCTTCTCACTACCTCTATTTCAGTCTGACTTTGTCTGACTCCATCTCCACCTGTCACAAAATGGCACACCTCACAAAAAACTCAACTCACTCAAAGCCACTCAACTTCTACGACTCATTAACTATCTACCACTCTCGCTTACTATCTCAGTGAAATTAGTGCTGTGTGTGTAAAAATTGCAGTAGATTCAATTGGTGAAGTCAGAGGATAGCAGGCCAGGAAGATTATTACAGGCGAAACTGGACCTATATTACCAAATTTCTATTTGTGGTGTGAATATTAAAGGGCAACGAACTTCATTACCAAAAGGGTACCACAAGCCTGGACAACCTATCAATAACTGGACTAGCTGATATATCGTTTTGGTGAGGATTCTTCCAGTTATTTCAGTGGTTTGAGGCATGGCAGCATTGTTCTTCGACATTTTATAATATTATTTGGGTTGTCTTCATGGGTTGCTGCTCCACCTGCTGAGAGTCCATTGGAATGACAATTTTAGCTTGAAAAGTAAATGGCCAAAACAGCTGCAAGCTGAAATACTCAAATACATTTTAACTTTTTAACTTTTTAATGAAATTTTATTTCCTTCTTCCCAGCCAATATTTGAATTGTTTGATTCTAAGGTAATAGTCACAATTGGCTGTGACAAGGCACGTGATTGACTTTGGAGCTGTATCTTTTATATATCGTGTATTGATCCCAGCACATTATTTTAGTAGCTAACCCAAATAAATTGGCTATTTTTATTTTTGTAAGTCTGCCTGGAAATGTGATTGAAAGTGCAAGTTTATTGAGTGTCCTTCATGCAAATTCTGTACTGTTTTGCAGTTGACTATTAATGCTCAATGTTGTTGAAAGCATTATCAACTTGTCCACCGCAGTCTACCGCACAGATTACATTATAGTCTTACAATGCTCTATATACATTGCAGTGACTTGTTAAACTTGATCTTCTGGAAGTATAACAATAGTTTTTTGTGCAGCCCTCAGTTGACCATTCTTGGGACAAGTCTTGCTTTACCTGACATCTTTTTGTATTGTCAGAACCAGACAGCCATTTTCATAAACATATGCACCAATTACAAAATCCATTAATATCCATCATGTTCTGTCATAAATCATATATCTGGGCAGCCAGTCTGACTGTAATTATTGCTGAGCAAGAAGCAGAAGTCTGTGATTAGGTTTAGTCATTATTTCCCTCCATGTGATTAATCTCAGCTATGAAATAATAAATTGAGAAAATGAACCAGTTTTATGTCAATGCGTTTGTAATTGTGAATTTCAGCGTGACATATTATCAAGCCGAGTTTTGACAGAAATCTGTTTCTGTCAGTCTCTTCTCTCCCACTCCCCTGCCTGTGACAAATACAATGATCAATGCTTTGCCATGTTGTTGTTTGTGTCAGAGCATCTAAAAATATCATGAAACCTACAAATGTCAAATTGAAATCCAACCATTTCCCTAGGTCTCTGTAGTATTTAAAATACTCTTGCTGAATGTCAGAATAGAAAAAAGTGGAGAAAAGACACAATATAAAAACTTATGTTTAGTGAAATTCATTCATTTTACCTGTAATAAATGATATTTCCACATTATTGTAATTGCTGAGTAGCAGCAATGTTTGTGGATTAACCTCAGTGTATTCCCACAATTATTCCCTCTACCACTTTCATTTTCCATTGAAATGCACATCATATTAAATCCCTGCTTTGTTTGAACACTCATTAAAGAAATTCTTTCTTTGTATTATATGTGCATCACACTTTTCCTTCAAGCTTCAGTGAGCAGGGGATATCTTAAATACTAATTGCTAAAGGTTCATGTTGCCACTTAGTACCAGGAAATCTCATTTGGATGCTTTAAACCCCATTCAAAAGAGGTCCAAATCCAAATTCAGAATGTAGATTTCTCATCATTGCAGATGGTTGTATACTTTAAATCTTATTGATCTCTATGTTCAGCAATTTCTCTTCATTATGGGAATAATCAGATTTACCAAGGTTGCATATATGAGATGAAAAAATATTCCTCACCTTCGTGGGGCCTTTTCTTATGTACGGCATTGGCTTCCACACAACGCTGACTAATGTCTTCTGGCGCACAGGGTTTTAGGGAAATCAATTTTTGCACAATAACTAGCCCAGGCAAGATTCTGCCCTGTGGAATGAAGGAAAGCATATTACATCTAATGCAAACCCTATTATGAAAGACACACAGTCATACATTATTTAGTGAATGTCAATTTTACAAGACTATTTCAAAAACAAACATGAATTATTCATCCACACCCAGATTTTCTTGGTTTTCTGAACGTAATTAATATTAAGAACAATCAGCTCATCACAAATCAAACACTAGCTTTTCATCTAATGCAGCAAGTTTCTGAGGGAGAAGACAACGATAGAATTTCATGACCACTATGTCTAATGGATGTTCCAACGCTGGTGTTCATTCACAATTAAGGGGGAATCCTGCAGGTTTATTGATTCAAGTCCAAGTAAAGGTTTAGCTATTATTCCGCAGCTGAAAGGAGATCACCTTTGTTACCCGGGATCAATGAAGAACCTGCAGCTATAATTACCATGCACTTGATGATGTTATTATTATTATGGCATGCACTGGAGAAATTGATTATATAGTCCCATCAAACGCATGTCAGCACAACCTAAAATAAAGCCACTGTATCAACATCCCTCCCTTAATGTGCCGTAATAGATACCGTACCAGTGACCAAAATGTTTTAAGGTTTTTTTGTTACAATTTTGGAATTTGTGTAATTCCGGAAGTGACATAATATTTGATTATATTCATTCAGTAAAAATAAGTATTACTGTAAGCAGTCTCTGCAGCTGGCAGTACAACTGCTTGTCAAATCTTTACACCAACAAGCAGCTGGTGCCAAACTGTCCCAACAGGCCACCCTTGATAATCAACAATGATCACATGATCATTTTAAAAAGCAATGGGATTTATAGTGATTTATCTGGCATGTTAATTACTGTTTTTATATATGAATTTTAGATTTCTTTAAATCAACACACTGACATTATTCTTGGAAATATGTCCAAAAAAAAAACATTTATAGCAACTACGAGTGCCTTAATGGCTACTGAAATCACTCTAACTGTTGTCTAAATGTCACAGGCCAGAATCCAGATGCCGACTCATTCGCACTAGGCCTGGGGGGAGCCTGATAAAGGTTGCAAATGTCAGTTATGTCAGATAAAGTTTGGAATGGCAGATTTCTGTTATCTTTGTTTAGTTCTTCCACTGAAACATATGCACGGAAAAACTAGACTGATCTCACCAGTGAAAGACCAAAAGGAGACAACAGTTGAGAAAGAACATCTCTCAAACAATAGAATCATTACTCATCTCCTTTAAACTTTTCATTGTTTCATTTCATCGTTTAGTCAGCTTACCAATTCCAGTTGCCTGAGTTACAAGCACAACTGCTGACTGCTGTCCCATTTGGTTATAACAAAGCAGTTTCTTAATACACGATCATTTGAATTTTTAAAGTCAAATAACTGGCTTCTAAATTAATGGTCTTTTTGACTTGCAGAAGTACAGAAATGCACTTTGGTTTAAAATTGCTACAATGCAGGTATAATAGATTTAGGTTATTTTAGATAGTTAAATATTTTATCGTAAATACCTACAGTATTTTCAGTAAAACTGAGACAGCTTTAAATCCCCTGCTGGCTTTGGCACATAAACTCATGGTATGCACAAATCAATACCCTCAATCAATAGACATTATTCACAAAACGAGGTGCACATGTAACATTTTGGTTAGTGAACTGCTTGGCATGTGCTTTTACACAAGGACATACTGTGTGGGCAGATTACAAATCAGTTGTTGCTCTTCAAGCAGTTGAGATCATTACACTTAGTGACTACTTACGGCATGTAAGATCAGCGTGATAGCCTGTATTATCTTACTGAACCTTGCCTGCCATTAATGAATAACAAGTATTGTAGGATATCATACTGCAACAAGAGTAAGAATTTACAGTCATGCTAGGCATGCTCCGGCATGATTTAAATGATAAAAATGACGACTGATATTTTGGCCTGTAGTGATTGGTTAAGGAAAATGGAATTAAAATGAGCTTCACTAGCAGTGGCAGCTTGTCAGTAGAGGGTAAATAGTTTACTCATACGATGTGCCGGTTGGTAGTAAAGAGCCTCAGATTTTAATAAAAACAGGCTTTAATCGGTTAACTATTTTCCATGTTTTTCAATATGTTTTCATATGATTTCATGGGCGAGGGACGCTGGACAAATGGATGTCTATCTGAGTCCTTAAATTTTCAGGCAGCATGTGACTTAAAGCTGGTCTCTAATTGGTTTCTTAAAGATTCTCCTCCGGACGCAGGTCGCTGTGTCCCTGGCAAATCAGAATTGGATACATGTTATTTTATCCAATCTCACAGATTGGTTCTCGTCACCTGTCATTCAACTTTACGATCTTGGCCACTACTGAACTGCGAGTGCGCGGGCGACACTGTCACTTCGACTCTGCCAAAACCTTGCTATAGGCTGATCAGTGATCACTTTCGTATAGATAAATGGCAGCATTTAAACCAAATTCTGTTATTGATCTCGGACCTGACCAACCTGATTTACAAATCCAGCAGCAGACCAGTGACAGAGGATGAAGCTACACCCGAAGCTTCACCTACGTTTGTTATGAGAAACGGAGGTGGCTAGCTGGATGTGATGTTAGCAATGCCCTTTTTTGCTTTCCCTGTCTTTTATTTCAAAGTGTTGGCACTGAAGTTCTGTGGACAACAACGGGGCTTTAAACATTTATCTGAAAAATGCAAACGTCATGCCAGTAGCCTCAGCCATCTTGATAATAGCATAAAACTTAAAGTTTTTGGGCAGAGTTAGTATTGCTGAACTAGATGAAGGCTACAGGATTGGCATTAGAAGGCACAACAAAGAGGTGACAAAAAATCGTCACATACTGTCCAGGATAATAGACTGTGTGAAATTTTGTGGAGCCTTTGAGTTGACTTTACGTGGCCATGATAAGAGTGAGAGCTCAGATAACCCCGGTATATTTCGCGGGTTGGTGGATTTTGTTGCCTCTCTTGATGGAGCATTGAAAGCACCTTGACAGTGCTACTGTATTTAAGGGAATGTCAAAACTATACAGAACGAGCTACTGGACTGTATGGTGTCTGTTACAAGATAAAAAATAATCAAAGAAGTCCAGACAAGTGATTTTTTATCAATCCAGGCAGATGAAACAACAGATATTGCCACACAGTCCCAACTTGTGCTTGTGCTGCGCTACATCGATGACAAAAATTACGTGCAGGAAAGATTTTTTGAGTTCATCCCTCTGCAGTCAGCTACAGCTGAGTCCATTGCTACTGCACTAAAAGAGCGTCTTGCTTCTATCCTTCCTGAGGATCAGAAAATTAAGCTCATCTGCCAGGCATATGATGGGGCCGGAGTGATGAGGGGTGCCACTGCAGGTGTTCAGAGGAAAATTCAAGATGTGTACCCAAATGCCCACTACATCCACTGCTACGCAAATCAGCTCAACCTGATAATGCAACAGGCCACCTCTCACATATCCAATGCGAGAATTTTTTTAACATTGGTGGATTTGCTAGCTTTTTTTCCAAGTCACCCAAGCAGACATGTTTTCTGGATAAAGTGGTTGCCCATAGACTGCCAAGATCCAGCAACGTCAGATGGAACTTTCATAGCCATGCCATCAATACTGTTTTTGAGCACAGAGAGGATCTCATTCACTTTTTTGACAGCATACAAGACTCAGGTGACTTTGACCCCAATACTGTCAGAGAAGCAGGAGCCCTGGCCATGCTACTGGAGGATCAGGATTTTAAGTTCTTTCTGGAACTTTATTACCACATCTTGCCACATGTAGACTTCCTCTATGCCAAGCTCCAGAAGAAGAAAACTGATTCGGTCCATATCAAAGTGAGCATCCAACAGTAACAGGAAATACAAAAGATCAGGTAACTGTATTCCTATAATATGATCGTTATTTGCTTTCTCTTTCATTATTAACTCCCTTTCTCTTTTGCCAATATTATAATAAATTATCTTTGTCCTTTGCAGAAACTCTCTCCATTCCATTGGTGAGCAAAGCAGTGGTTCTCAGCCAACAAAGAGGCGCCGGGTGCTCAGTCCAGAAGACCAAGAAAGGATTGCAGCAGAGGTGAGTTTGTTATAGAAATCAGTCAAAATACCATTTTACATTATTGTTGTGCTGCAGAGATGTCCTGACCACATATCATATTCTACAGACTCAAGAAAACATTTTTTGTTTGGTATAAATCCTTACAAAAATCATAATTTTAATATTATACAACAGCATCCCAAATAATAAATTTGCAACATAAAAATAATTGATCAAATTAAATATGAAGCCACCAAAAACTACACAACAAAAACTACTGTCTCAAAAACTCAAATGGCTTTATTTTCCTTTTTGAAAGTCATTGCAACAGTGACAACTAGTGGCCTACTACAGGCTACTACCTTACATTTACATATATATATTTTTAATTATCTCTATAGGTCTGTGACACCATCCTGGGACACACTAGGGAGCGTTTCTTACCTAGTCTGTGCAACCTTGTTGCAGGGGGACAGGTTTGACTAGTACAAGGATACCTTTCCTGAAGATCCATTGAGCAGCACCATTAAAGTGTACCCGATGCTCAGTGGAAGCAAGCTGAAGACAGAGCTCAGTCTCATCTACAGCAAGGAAGAGCTCAAAGCCTGCCGTGGTGCTGTGGACCTATTCCAGCTGTTTATGTAGAATAATCTCGAAGAAGTCTTTTCCGAAAATGTGACTCTCCTAAAAGTTCTCATTACCACTATTATGATCACAGCTGAAGCTCAGAGGTGCTTCTCAACCTTGAAAAGAATAAAAACTTTTCTCAGAAACACCATGACCCAGGAGAGGCCAAATACACTGGCATTGCTGTCCATGGAAAAGAGACTTGTTACTGAGATGACTGACTTTAATCAGAGAGTCATTGAGAAATTTGCTAGCCAGAAAGAAAGGAGAGCAAAATTTATGTTCAAGTAGTCATCACGCTTTTTTGATCAAACAAACACACACACACAC